GGCTCTCCTGGGTGCTGCCCCTCTGCGGCGGTGGCTGCTCGGAGCTGGGCCCTTCTTGGGGCAGTGTCTAATGGTGCTTTTTTGTTTATTTGTTTTGTTTTTTTCCGTCTCGCCGAGCAGCTGGTGGGTTCGGATGAGAGTTTGCAGCAGAAGCTCGCAGAGGCGATTCTCAAAGAGAAGAAAAACTTCAAGATCAGTATGTGAGTCCTAGGGGAGGGAGGCAGGCAGGCAGGCAGGCAAGTGTTGCCAGGGCTCTGTGGGCCTGCCCCGCTGCCAGAGGTTCCCATGCCCTGTCCGCCTTCAGCTTCACATCCGGGCACGTGCCCATAAGTAGACCGTACAGGTACTGCTGTCATCTTGTGTAGGAGGTGGAACGTAAGCAGAGGAGGTGATGATGATCCACCAGTTTCTGCTTCTGAAGTGCAGATAAGAAATTTGCGTATCAATGCAGCTTCTAGCCAAGTGGTAGTAGTTGCAGCTAAGGTAACTAAAGTGCGTTCCTTTCAAAGACAGAGCTTGCTTTTGTGAACACTAGAGTACAGCATTGCACAGATGTATCCATCATCTACGAAAGACAAACTGTTCTTTCTTCAGGAAAAGCAATTTGGATCTGATTAGAAGCGAGGGTGGAAATAATTGTCACTTATTATTCTTGTTTAGTGGGCACATACCATTGGCCTTTGCATGTTGCACAGCTGTTTGATTAATAAAGTGTAAGGGTACAATAAGAGCACAGCTTTGCGCAGGGTTTTGTTTGGCAGGCAGGCATATGTAGGGATTAAACATCCACAGAAAATTGAGACAAGTAAAATTCCTGCAACTACTTGGAACCAATCAAGTTTTCTTGAAAGATGTCCATTACTTCTAGTGCTATTCTTAGCCGGACTCTGGTTTGTATGCATACATATACTTTTCCTCAAGCTGTTAAGATGCGTTTGGAATTTGGACTTCAGCTGCATGATGAGTCCTGTCTAAAAGCTTGCCTAATGAACTTTTTACTAGATAATAACCTTGACAGCTCTCTTACCAAGAGCAAATGAGTTTAGTCAGATTTTCAGAAGGTGTTTATGTTATTTTGCTGTAGTCCTAGACTGTGCAGTAAAGGCAAACCTAAACTAATGTTTCACTAGCTAGTTTGACTATCTGCACCTCTCTGATCATAGCATGAGACTTGTGCTGATTGATAGTAAATTAATCACTCAATTTTCTATGCTAATACTGCAGCCATTGCTGCACTCTGAAGTGCTATAACTAGGTGGCTACTGGTACTCCAGCTAGGTAGTTCAAAGGCACTGAAGCTTATGCTCGCACAACAGAGTGATTGTGTCAGGAGGAAAGTTCCTGCCCTAGAATCACTAGGGGAACAGATGTCCGTGACAGTTCTTTTTCCACTGTATTGGTTTAGGATTATGCACATTACAAACTAATGTGGTGTCTATAACATCAATGTGAATGGTCTGCAGACTCCTGACATAATCTAAGGATGTTAATTTGAATATAGTAGAATTCCAATTCATGGATTTTTCTCTCTCGCTCTCTCTCGCCCCCCCCCCTTTTTAAACAGGGAGATCTGATATTTTCACCACAGCTTCTCACTAAATCTCTCTTGAAATTTTTAAGCTGATTTGTGTTGCAATGTATCTTCCAAGCACAATTAACTCATATCTTATGTTAATTTCAAAATGTTTTTGTTAAACGATATCTTCCATATTTGTAGGAAAGAAAACACCTTTATTTAGAGACTGGCAGACACCTATACTGCAAATCTAAATATGGAGTTCATTTAAAAATTTAGTTAAGAATCTAGAACTTGTGGTCATCTCATGCTCCCTTGATCTGAGGTATGATAAGGTGTATATGTAAATAAATGCTTGAAGATATAAAACATCTTTGTTCATTCTTTTGTTCCAAAATACAGCCAGCTACTTGCTGATGCTAGCAAAGCGTGGCCTTGGTAACATCCTTCCTTGTGGAAGGCCCAAGCTATGTGCTAAACAGGCCTTTCCCTTCAGTGGGAAGAAGGGTAAAAATAACCAACTCTGTAATTGTCCTCCCAGCAGCTGTGCCAGTAGTGGCTTTACTGCAGTATAGATTTAGTTCACGACACCTGAACTAACCTACTAACTCCTGAGACAGTGAAGGGGGGAAAAAAAAGGGGTGTAATGGTATAATAACAGAACCAATAAACTCCTTCTGAGCTATAGCTTCATCTGTAAAGCTATACTGGTGACAAATTTCTGGTTTAAGTTTTTTTTTTTCTTTTTTGAATAAGAAACAACTTTCTGCAATGTGGTTACCTAGGGAGGTAGCTTCTTCTGTGTGAGTGTATGCTCAGGATCTCTGGAACCTGATGGGAAAGCACTGACAGATTTTAACTGAAATTTGGTAGAGAAATATACCAGTAAAGCATTGGGGTTAATTTTGTTAGAAGGGTCTCTTCTAACAAATTAAATAAAGTGATTTCCGTACAGACCTGCGGGCAGAAAATTTTTCTGTGTATGAGTCTTGTTAAGCTTCCTATTATAAGCATCTTAGACTAGCAAGCATCAAGTGTGGCTGACGACGACTATGAATAGGCTTAAGGGGGATAGGAGGATAGCACTTAATGAATCACAGTGGCTCTTTAGTGCCTAGGTATTTCATAAGTAGCTGGCACTGAATCTGCTTTTGAACTGCAATGGTTAAGTGGATACTGCCTTGCAAAGCTATTTGGGTGAACTTACAAATTTATTTTTCAGTCACCTTGCAACATCCCTCCCCTTACCTTCAGAGAGAGATCACCTTCGGCCCAGGATAGATCTGATTGCATTTATGATTGACATCAAGAGCAAATACAGGTAAAAGAAGGGCAGAACTGTGATGGGGAAGCTGATATCCTTTTTGGGATTGATGGCTAAATCTGCATTTTTATTGTGTCAGAAACATTGAATACTGGACTTCAAACCCAAGATATGCTGTAGTAGAACAGCTCAGTGATATATGCAGTGGTTATCCAGCCTCAAAGAATGGATTAGGTAGGATTGTGAACGTGGCTACTGTGCATTAAGTTGCCATAGCAGAGAAGGCAGAATTTCTTTCAGGATCCAGATATGGAGTGATATGAGCTGAGATTTGGAAAGATACTGCCTGTAAAATGAGGTGGAAATGATGGTGGTGCTCTTAAGTTCTGTAGTATGCGGATGGCTGACGTGTGCTAGGCAGTACTACCTAATAATCAGCCAGTCACTGCGTCTCTGTTGGCACTTCATTGGCTCTGCTGGCCGAGTGGGATCAGCACTGCAGATGTCTCTTTGGAGAAAAGGAAGTCTCCGGGAATCAGTCCTTCTTCTCTCATCTTGTGCTTATCTTTGTAGAGAACTTATTTTTGTCCCTATGAACAAAGACTTGCCAGGGGACAAAAGTCAGTATTTTGTTACTTATTTAGCTTGTGACTGATGATCTCGGGCTTTCATTTGCCAAAGTGATAGGCCCAGCTGCATACTTACAGCACAGATGGTGCTGCAGAAATGTGTGGGTTAGCTCTTTTGAAAGAGCCTAAGTAGTGCTGAAGTCTCATTGGATCTTAATGAGCTTGGATGCTTCGTGTCTGCAAATCTTAGAGGACACTGTTCAAACTAGTCTAACTGTTGAGTCTGGGGTAGAAAGGATGTTTTCTGGATTCTTCAACAGCTGTGGGTATTACAGAGGTCTCTGCTGCCATGCTTTTCATATAAAGCGTAATTCTGTCAGCTCACAGATTAGCAGATTTTAGCATCACTGGCTTTCTATTTGGACTTTTGAAAGTTATTCCCTTTGTCCTTGTGCTGCAGTAGTTCTACCTCCTTGTCCAACTCGATTGTCTGTGCTTTTCTGACAGCTTGAAGAATATCGAAGCTTCGTTAGCTCATGTGGATGCCAGCTTCTTCCTGGGGAAAGTATGCTTCCTTGTCACTGGGGGTAAGTATGGCATCTGCCCTCTTCTTTGTCTCTCAGCAGCACAACTCGCTGTTGCTTTCCTTAAAACAGGGCAGTAGCTTGTTGGTAACTTGAAACAAAACAGAACAGAAGCTTTGTCAAAAGCTTTGTTTAAATTATAGCTGAACTCAACTGACCTGTTTTTTATTATTTTTTAACTACAAGTCTAAAAAGCATGTTTCTTGCTCACTTCCAGTCAGACCGTTCTTCTCTGTCCCTGATTCTCTAAATATGAATTGTGTTATTGATTTTTCTGTGGCACTGCAGAAGTCTGTTCTGTCTGCTCTTGCAGATCTATCTTAATGATAGTCTCACTTAGCAGTGAGGAGCATATGATGCTGTGGTAATAAAATGAATCCAAATGGAGAAGCTACTAAACTATTAAGTATATTTTTAATATGTGACTGATATCCCTGCTGCGTGCTGTCTGGTCCCATTGTGCCTCTAATGTTTTTTTTTTCTCCCTTGCTCCTGAGCAGAGAGGGTGCTTATCTGCATAGCCTCCCAGCTTCAGCTCTGAGCAAGTGGAGGGACCAGCCTACGCTGCTCTGTGTTGGAACAGAGCTGCCATATCCCTGGAATTTCAGGGTGATAGGAGGGCTTTTTCTGGAGTGGGAAAGGAAGGAGTCTCAGCATTGCCTTGTGCTGTGACTCTCATGATGGGGCAAAGTTCTGGAGATAGGAGCAGCCTGTGATACTACATGAGACAGGAGGGCTTCTGATTAATGGATGAGTGGAAGATTTTGCCCCTGCTGACATTGTATGGATCCCTTATCCAAAATATTAACAACAGCACGGTACTCATTAATGTGGTGATGCTATTCCTGCTTTTCATTTTATGAGAAACTTCTGTGCTAACGCCCAGTGCTAATCTTGTACCATTCGGTTTGTACTGCTCACTGTTGCTTTACCAAATATGATGCTCTCAAAATTAGCCCTGGGTCATTTTGTGGATGTGGAGTTTCCTGGTACTTTTCTTCACCAAATGTTGATTATGGGGCTTGTAATGTGGAAAAAACCTTTTCTGCAGTTGGTAGGGTGAATTACTGCAGCATAGAGATGAATGCCATCTGGAAACTGGGAGAAGTCTACTGTAGTCCTGTGCTATACTGTGAGCTGGAGGTAAGATGCATACTTGATGTCTGAAGGAATTTGTAGACTCCCCCGCTCTCTGATCCTTAGTAAGATCATTACAGTAGTGATAATACATGTACATATGCTACTATCATGTGTAAGTGCCAGAGGCCATATTCTTTCTACAAGAATAGTACGGGTATGGGAGTCTGGCTGTCCTTGAAATGAGTATTCTAGGTTGATTGCAACTTCCTGTGCTACTTTAAAGTCTCAGAAAGCCGAGCCGTCCTAATTCAGCAAAGACTTCCTTGACATGTCGCAAAGCCTTGGTACATTTGCTCCCTGAAGCATTCTCTCTTCTTCCTGGGAGCCCCTGAGCTGTTGTCTGTCATGTGATTCTTTTTCACGCTCTGCACGCAGCACTTCCTGTTACCCAGACTTTCATGCTTCACAGACTGTTTTACAATCTGATACGCCGTTCTTCTCAGTTACCATTCAGTTTGAAAAGCTGGAGGGAGAGCGTGTCACTGAGGGTAGCACAGTTCACTTTTCCATGTACTCATCATACCACACTGAGGGACCTCTTCCCTCACCAGCAGATAGTTGTTGTGCCTTTGGCGGTCCTTTTGTTTGCCCCTCCCTCTCAGCAAATCAGCGAGGTTGGGCACCCAAAACTTTCTTAGGGTCTTCAGCTGGTGTAACTGTACTCCTCCTCTAACATTGAGTAAATTATCCTGTTCTGGGGGTGTGTCTGTATCTAGCAGTCCTAAAACATATTTAATGCTCGTTTTAATGCTGCCAGTTTTTCCTTGTATAACAGCTGTGCACTGTTTTTTGTTTTTGTTTTAAATTGTTAAATAATTTCTCCATTTTTGTTTTCAGTTGGAAGGCATACGAGTTGCTACTGCTCAGAGACTTCTCCGGATGTTGCAGATCTGTGCTGGTCACATACCGGGGGTTTCTGCCTTGTCCTTTGGCTCGCTGATGAGGAACTCTGCTGATGAATAACTTTGCATTGTGAGAATTCAGTCAGGTTCATTAGTTCTTCACTTCCAGGCGTTCAAGCTGGAAACGCTTTAGGAAGCCTTTTTGCCTGTCTTATGACCGCTCATCCAGAGCTGTTCCTCGTTACTAATCTATCAAGAAAAGCTTTATTCCTGTTCAGTGGATAAGGCAGGGGTGTTGAAGGGAGGATAGCTTGACCTGATGAACCCATTATTACATCTGAATCTCATTTTATGCTGAACTTTACATTTTACCCAGTTTGCCAGTGGCCATGAGCTACATCTTTTGCTGAAATAACATCAAAAGAACAGGCCACTGTCCAAAATGCTGCATGTCGTGGTTGGGTATCTGAGTTTCGGTGGCCCAAAACTACTAGAAATGAGACACCACACTTCCACATCCTTTGACCTGAAATACGGCACCTTGGCAGTGAGGTTTTGTATTAGTCCAAACTTGCTGTCTCCTCACCAAGAGAATAATGTGTCAGGAAGGCTGTCCTGCAGCTTCTAGATATTCAGCAATTGGCAGTTAATGATCCAGCTGTGGTAGCATCTGCCCAGTGAAGGGCTGCCTGATACCTAGTCAAGGTGGAAGGGACTAAATAAGGTAACTTAGCACTTTAAAGAAGAAAGTTCCCTCTCTCAGACCCAGGATAACAACCAACCCGAGTCTTTGCTCATGATCTGGACAGCTGCAGACTATTCTGCTGCAAGTCAGTCCCTGTAGACAAGGAAGAGTCCTCCAGAGAAGTCAAACTGTCTCTGAGTCAAGAAATGAAGAGGTAAAGAGGCCTGTAACTGAGAGTATTGCTGCACATAATGGGTTATCACCTGGACGGGTGGGGCAGAGAAGGAGAAACGTGCAGCCACTAATGGAAATAAGTCTCCATTTTTCAAAGTAAAGAGCCATGAAATGGCTTTTCTTTTTCAATCTTCTGCAAATAGGGCATTTCAGCTCCAGGAGCTACGTTTGTCCCTCCAGCATTGTTAGTGCTGGAGTTCTGCGCTCTGGGGCTGGTCAGAGATGGAACGTGGCGAATCTTACTATAACAGCATTCAAAAAACACATGGCATCTCTTGCAAGTTGGGCATATGCTGCATATGAATACCTTAACTGATAGGTTCTTGTCAGCAGTAATTCATGCCTTATTCTTAATGCAAATTAATGGTGTGTTTTTGAATGCTAAGTTAATAAAATGTATCGTATTTACACTAGTTGCATGCTCTTTGTTTAGGTATGTAGCATGGGCTCTAAAATCCATGAACACTTCTCCCAACCTTACTGTCAGGGTAAACTGGTCCTTGCTGTTTTTTGAACTTCCTATTAGTTAGGTACTTGGTGGGCTGCAGTCACTGTATCAGCCACGTGGTGGTGGTAAAAGCTTTCCAAAGAAAATCCTTTATGTAAACTGAATTGAGCCACCTTCCAGAATACAGTATATAGGTGGTTTCTACCCAGAATTGGATGCCAGGTAGGAATGAAGTCTAGAGGCAATCAGTTAAGCTCCTCTCTAGTTTAATTTACTTAATCCCTAATAGTTTGCTTTAATATCCCTAGGTGCAGAGCCCTAGCTGAGTGTGCTGTTTCCCTGAGCTTGTTTCTGACATCTGTCTGTGAGCAGGAAAAAGCAGAAAAAGCAGCATTGCAGGCTTAATCAGCTGTGAGTGCTGGCAGTCCTTGCAGAGACAGCTCAGCAAGGCACAGAGCCTGTATCCTTGCTCAGAGGACACACGAATCCTAGCTCCAGTTCTATTGTTGCTGGGAGAGGGGAGGAGGGAAGGGTTGTTTGTCAGTTGGAACAAAGGAGCTAAACCATTCTGCTGCGTTATGGTGTCCAAAAGGGCTGGACTCTCTGGCTGTAGCCCAGAGAAGAAAAATGTGTGCAGATGCTCATGGCCATGGAAGGAGGATTGGGAGCTTAATGGACATGCCCTACTTTCAGCCAGCTTTGCAATCCCAATAGTATTAGCCAGGCCTTTGCCACCAGAGAGGAGCAATCATGCTGAGAAAGAAGTTTCTCTCTGTTGGTTATGCTGTCTCAGCCTCGCTCTCACTTTGGGTCCCTCAAAATAAATGAGCCCATAGTTTAGAATAGACTAGTTTCGATTTGCTCTTAATGTGCAGGTGCAGTCTGGGGGAGGGGAGGAAGGGCCGCGGTATAAAACAAAAAATGAGCAATTCTTTGTCCTCTGCGACCTACTGTAAGGTGCGTCCCTATTTTGTCTCCTAGGATGCTCTCCAGTTGCATCCAATAACCACTGGACTCCAGTAAAATCCATTCAGTCTCGAGAGTAATTTCTCTTGCTGTGATTTCTTAACTGATGAAAACGAAACTTTCTTTGTTTCACCTAGCATACTTTGTAGCAACCCATCTGTGCTACTGTCTACTCCAGGACCTTCAAACTTATATATATATATATAGATATATTTTCCTTTGGTATGTTTCAGATATTGTATTTCTTTCCCTCTACTTTCAAAGAGGGAGGATGCTGTTTGTTTGCACTTCCTACAGGTGTCTTAATTCCAGCTGGTACAAAATAAAATCTAGTTCCTTAAGAGCAGCATCTCGCTTCGCCTGGGGGCAAATATTTTTCTTACTCTTAGAAAAATGCCTTTAATAGAACTGGCAGGGGAAGTGGAGCGTATCTAAGAATATGACACTGTGTCTCAGGTCCATCATGTTTTACAACTGAAAGTAGTTGGGACACATCTAAAGCTACAGCTACAACTATGTAAATACCTCTAGGAACTGTCAGCTATTAGTTTAGACAGGACATTACAATGCCCCTAAACAGAGAAGACAAGGCAGCTGAGGATATCTTTCATCTAGATGGAGTAGCCAGTGCTAATGTTTGTGAAAGTAGTATTTGGATTATGATCAGACACAAGGAAGGCCTGAAGTTGATTCAGAGCAGTGACCCAGGCTCTGTTGTGTTTAAACATTAAAGAACTTGCCAAGCTGGTTGATAATCTACTCTTAACAGAAATGTTTTGGAGTTTTTTATTTTCTCTTCATCTCTGTGCCTCAGTTCCCTATCTGTCTGGAGGTTCGCAAAGAGAAATTCTCCTGTCTGTAGCAAAACTACCTGTGAGCTGTGCTGGTTTGACTGTATCAGTTTGTGGGCATGTATTTTGTTTGTCAACTGTTTACATCAGCAAAATCAGTGTAAAAGCAGTTGTATTACTGTGAAAGTACTTATACCAGTTGCATTGGTATAAGCTTCAGTGGTGCAATGCTTTCGTTCTGGTGGAACTGGATGAGACTGAGTCTCTTCTGCTATTGTGGTTTGACCCACAGGTTTTTGCCTTCAGCCCAGGCACGTGAAGAAAGTTTTATATCCTCAACCTGCTAGCTGAGCTGCTTGTGGAGGTGCTCTATAAGTGATTTCAGCTCCAATCAGCATGGTTAGTGTTAGTTGTTTATTATAGCTCTTTGCTAGCCCAGGTTTTGCAAGTGAAGGTTTTTGCTGGCTTAGCAACACCAGCAGTTAAATCAAACCAACTTTTAAGTGCGAAGAAGACACGCGATGCGCTCAGTCTATACTATCAGGGGAGAGAGAGTCTTTTTACTGATATGGGGCCTATAGTAGAAGATCTTTCTGGCCTGGAACAAAGATCAGAGATAAATCTAGCTCTGGAGACTTGCCTGTCCTCCAAACCTTGAAACTGGTGGTAGAGATTTTGATTCAAGGCCACCTGTAATATTTGCTTTTGGGCCTGATTGAGGCTGGAAGCTTGCCAAGATCTGTAGTTAGAGCTGGAGGCTCTGCTTGCCAAGATCTGTAGTTAGAAGGGCCTGGTTGCACTGTGCCAGGTCAGTCAGGACACTCAGCAGCTGTGGTCCTGTAGGAGCTGCTTGGTAGCTTGTATCTTGACAGCTGTCCACAGCAGAAGTGGTGGGTGAGAAGCGATTTTTGTGTGCCCTGCTGCCCCAAGCTGACCTGGGTTACAGAGACACCCGGGAGAGGTATCTGGTCTACTGCGGGCCTCCTTCCTCATAAAGGACATAAAGGAAAGGGAGAAGTGTTCTGCTGACTCTTATTCTCTGGAGTTCTTAACTTGTGCTGTTGATTCTGCAAGAGCACTGGGCTTTGCTCTGGCCAGATTCCAGCTGTTCTGTCTCCTTTCAGCTGGCCCAGTTCCCCTGGCAGTTTCTCCTGCGTACTGAGTATTCTTCACTTCCTATCCTAAGCTGGTGTGCAGTTTTGCTGTAGGCTGTTGAACAACTGCCACTTTCCATTCAGTGACCAGCTGTCCTTCACTGGTGGGGAAAAGTGGTTTATATGCAAGAGAAAGCAATAGCTGGCACGGCCCAGAGCTGGAAGCCTGAAATGCTGGGCCTGTTTTGCCCTGTGGTTGATTTCTTGCATGAGTCTGGGCCTGTGTGTTGAAGTTCTCTGTGCCTTGCTTACACTGTGTAAAATAAGAACCACCTTTTCCTGAGCGAGTGTGATAAGAATGAATTGACACTGCTACCATGTTTTGGGGCCCTTTGGGTTACAAGTCAAGAACTGGCTGGAAACACTCAGAAGAAACAGTTTGCTCCTGTTTAGTAAAGCTTGATTTTTGCCAGAATTCTGGGTGAAGACAAAGGAGTGTTTGACAGGAGCCTGCCAGCCAAACGGCTTCTGTGATCGGCAGTGTTTCATGCCGTTTACCCCCCTGACTGCGCAGCAGGCAGCTGGGGAGGCTGCCTGAAACTGTGCTCCCTTCCTTCTTGGAGGGCATTTCAATGTGGTTGAGTTTTGTTCTGACCTGTAACAAAATCGCCTTCTGAATACTGAAATTCCCTGCACAATAGCTTAATCCTTGGATTGGCTTGGGGGAGGAGGGGACCAAAGTCTCTGGATGTTTCTCATTGTTAAATATTAATACAGTGCTTAGATGCTAGGCAGGATGGTAACCCCTCGGGTTGGCTCTACGCAGAAGAGGCAGTCTTGGCTGTGAAGAACTGGTTCGCTAGAGAAGTTGGACGCAAGGGAACTCAGAAGTGATGTGTCTTGCTTAGACTCCTCAGCATGAGTGGTACGGGCTCCTGGCCCAATGCCGGGCCACACTTGCCTTGCCACAGGCTTCATTTGGAGGGGCTGATACATGCCACAATGCTGAGATCCCTTCTCTCCCTCTAGTTTATCATGTCAAGGGTGTTGCAAAGAGGCTGTTTTGTGTGCAGGGCATTCTGGCATGGTAGCGTCCGTCAAGAAACGAAGTCTGTGAGGAGTCAGGAAAGACGCTGCGCCTGTCCCTCAGCTCCCCTGCCTTGCTATGTCCTTTGCTCAGGGAAGTCAGCGATGTGTGAAAGAGAGCCCATATTTTACATACGCACAGGCTGCCTCCCCACCGCTGGGCACAGGTGCAGCTGTGGGCTTGGTGCAAGAGCCCCCGGGGCTCTGCACGTCACAGGAAGAAGCACTGAGGTGGGGTGAGGACAAAAACAAAGACAGAGAAGCCACCCCCCCCCCTTGGGAAACCTGGCCCCAGCCCCCATGAACCGGGGCTGCCGTGTCCTTC